TTAGCAATGAAGTCGGATAAATCGATGATTATAGCTTAGTCGTTATAATTGGTTTGATTTGATTTGAAATAGTTCGTTTTGGTTGCACTTGTGTAACTTTAACGACTTAAATTGTTTTATAACTATTTAAAGAATTGCAATATTCTTTATTGTTATCTCTCGTCACTCGCACCTTTGATAGGAATGAATTTTATAGCAGGTGTAAGAGAAGCAACATATACTAAATTGACAAATTTAGAAAAAGAGATAATGCAAGATTTCTTTAGTATTTATAGTTATAAATACGACAGTTATTTCTATTAAATTATTGATTCTAAGTGTTAATTTGCTTCTCTTGCACCTATTGGCTATCAGGAAAGAACTATGTTCTAAGTGAAAAGTCAAATTAACTTGCACCTATTGGCTATCAGGAAAGAATACAATAATTAGGGCGAAAGTAAACTGAAGGGTCGCTCTACGATGTTAGAGATTGCACCGGAACTTTTGACAAGCTTTATGGAAAAAGCTCTTGTTTATATACTAGTCGATTATGCTAATTAGTGGGAGAAATGTCATATTATTGAGGAGGGGTGATCTATAAATAGAATTACTTTCCTTATATGGTAATGGTCTACATCGCATGTATGACATTGAATCTTCTTCTTTCTGAATTCTCTCTTTTATATGCTGACAATGGGTTTTTGAAGATCATATTACACTTGGATCTTCACAACCTTCACATTCTTCACGCGTATAAACAAACAAGCTCGAACTTGCTACACATTTTGCTTACATATATCCTATTTTTAGCTTTTCAACTTTCTGAACTTATATGGTGTAAACGAATGTCATATCTCTTTTGAGATCAATTTCGTTTCCACACTCTTTCTATCAATATATACATAAATAAATACATTAAAATAAGACATATAGTTTAAGTATTGTAAAATTATCATAGAATTATATAAAATGTCTTATTTTAATGATAATTTTAAGGAAAATTAGGGAAAATTGTTACCGGGATGTAACATTTAATCACAATATAATTTAAATAGAATTATGCAGAAAAAAGTTCAAACTTTATGGTAATACCAAAAAGTGTCCAAAAATATATAAAATTGACATATTAATATGTCTTTGAAAAAAAGTGTCCCACTGTTTGTCACTCTCCCCTATATACATATATCAGATATATGAATATTTTTTTTTATTTTTAAAACAAAAAGGAAGAAGATTAAGATTTTAGACGATGATGTTCGTATGCCATTTTCAATCGTCTAGATAGAGAAACGCAATGTTAAACAAAGAAGTACTTATGTTATATTCCTTGGTGTAAGAAAGAAAGGTATGCGTTACCTATTCAGTTTTAGACTTTCTTTATAGCTTTTTCACGTGATAAAGGGAGAAAGAAATAATTACCTGGGTCCTCAGAGTTATTAATTATTCTTCTTTAACAGATTGCAGGTCAAACGAACCCTCATTTGCAAAACAAAGATATATCTTTCTCTTTCCATAACTTGTTCTTCTCTCTGTCACCGAAAACACAGCAAGGGTCCGGACGGAATGAGTGAATGAATGAATGAATACCAAGATTATTATAGTTAATTATTTTACACTTTAAAAACTGCTTATCTCTAGTCTTGTTACGCCAATATTTATTTGGCAACATAAATAAAATTAAAACATTAAATTTTTAATAATAAAATTATTAATTAAATATATCAGAATTATTTTATTTTAAAATTATTTTTCTTTATTCTTAGACTTGCTTCAAGTTAGATTGTAGCAACTCTAATATCATATTACCGTCAGGAATTTCGGGACGTCAGCGAAACAATATAAAGAAATAACGCGACTTTATTAGGCAACTCGCATCTTGGAAAAATAATAATTTTATTCCTTTTAAAAAAAAAAATTAATTTATATGAAGCAAGCTCTTGGAGCCAACACGAATTTTAAGAATATATCAATTAATGAAGAGTAATAATTTTATAATCTTCATTGATTGATTGTTCTTTTATTTTAAATAAAAATTTCTTGTAACTTCGTCAATAACGTCGTTGCAAGACCCGCGTCTATTGTAGTACACTAATAACCTTGCAGCGACGTTGCAGACGAAACTCGCAAATAACTAGTGAACCGCAATTTTGCGAAGGTTGCAGAATAAAGATTCATTATTCTGACATCCATAAAAAGCAAATGGACCTTGTCGCAATGTTACCAATTTGTAACTTCCGTAGTTAGCGAACCGCAATTTTTTCGAATGTTGCGTTTTCGATAATCAACATTGCCACAACCTCCTGAAGCTAATAAACCGTGTTAAAATTTTATTGAATGGTAAACAGCCGAGATATCGCCCGAAAACCTTTCAGCAACATTGCGAGTCGCTATTGAATAGATACATACATTTAATAATCAGGTGTTACGCAACAAGTGCGAATTTCGTTCAAAATCATTAATTATTTATTCATGAAAATGTATTATTATATTATCCTAAATATATCGCAAAGTATTTATATTATTGTTGCAAAAGAATTGTTAAATTTTAAAATTATTAAAAATTAAATTTAAAATAGAAATTAAAATAATAAGATTCGAAATTAAAATAATATTTCTGCAGCCATGGGTGGGAGTCCTCGCTGAACGCGTTGAGTGAAGGCTCCCCGCGCGTCCCTCGACATTGCGCGAGAGAGAAAGAAGACTGTATGTAACGGCGAAGCGTTCTCTCTCAGACACACTGTTCTCGCGGAGTACTGCGTTCTCTCTCTGTCGCATGGTTTTCTCCCTCGCTCCAATGACTAGTACGCGTCACTCTTGCTCTTAAGGAGCTTCTACAATAGCTCCGTTTGGCAACTCCAACTCCAAGTCCAAGTTGGTTGGAGTTGGTTGCGCACGCATGGTGTTGCCAACTGTCGCCGAGTTGAAGCTGAAACACGCTGTAAAGTTTAATAAATTATTTGTTGTTGTTGCTTTTGATGTTGCCACCGTCTCATCGTTTTTTAAAGAGAAGAAAAATATAAATTAAATTAAATTTTTCTTTTATAAATAACAAAATTTTTTTCCCCGAATAATACACACATGCAATGAATTTAATATTTGTAATATATAAATATAGTAATAAAAAAATATACAATAAATGAGATGAACTGTTAATACAAAATTTTTTTTATGTTTTTTATTGACATTATAATAAAAGTTTTTCATCATTTTGATTTCACAATATATTAAAAAGGTATTGTCATGAACATAACCTTACAATATTTTTTGCTTATTTTAATATTAGAGAATGCAGATAATTTTCAAAGTTTAATATTTTATGAATGAATTTTTTCGTCTAAAATTCATTGAATATAATTACTAAATGTGATAATTCTTTAAAAAGTTAATTTCTTCATGCGTTGCCATAATATTTTTGTAATCCAATTTCCTGAATTCTCCATTTTTCCATGTAAATAATAACATTTTCCCTGACAAACAGATTTCTTATTAGAAGAAAAAAAAACATTTAAGACTCTACAAACATTTTAAACACTATAATCTAAATACTAAAAATACTCTAATCTGAATTTAATTCTGAAAATAACATTAAAATAATATAGTAAAATAATCTGTTAATGAGAATAATGTAATCTTAAGTTAAGTTATTTTTAAAAATCGTATTTAATTAAAAATATAATAAATATGTCAACGCACGTTTTCCATTATTTTTCAAATATTTTTAAATTTAATACCATTTTATGATTACGCCCTTCTCATGTGATGAAATGTAAAAATATTGTAAGGTTATGTTCATGAAAATACCTTTTTAATATATTGTGAAATCAAAATGATGAAAAACTTTTATTATAATGTCAATAAAAAACATAAAAAAAAATTTGTATTGACAGTTGAAGGGTAGAATGACAAAAGGTGTCAAGCGCCAATTTATCGAAAATGAGGTTTTTGCATAAAAAAATCAAGAAAATTCATTTACACATTTCTGTAGAAGGATTTTTTTATTGCGTATATAAATCAGTTTTTAATAAAAATTAAATTAATAAAATAGCCTCAAATTTACTTTATTGCAACCTGATTGAAAAACAAAAGAAAGTGGTGTTCAATTTTGATCAAAAATATTATTTTTTTAGGTTTTATTTTAATATTTTATTTTAATTTTATTTTAATTAATAAAATTAATATTAATAATATATTTTCAATTTTAAACAATTTTAAAATCATTTTGTTATTAATTTTTAAATATTTTTATGATTATACTAAGTGAACAATTGAATTTAAAGATGAAAGTATTGCTCAATTCCAAAGCAAGCAATTAATTCGTAATTTTCTTGAAAACAAACAATTATTTAAAGGAATTTTTTTTTCTATTCATTTCGTCGATTCCATAGAAAGAAACTAATTTTCCAGTTTTTCTTTAAACTGTATATTTTTTTTATAATTAATGCTTAAAGAAAATGTGCGTAGTTGATATAACCTCAAGACGCCACAGTTTTTTTTAATTTTATCGTTAATATGTAGGTTTATTTCAACAAATTGTTGTTTATTTATTAAAACATACTAATATATCGAAACGGTTTTCTCAGTTTTTTTTTAAATGACCTGCAAAATTTTTAAAAATGTTTTTTTTACTTCCTGTAAAAACAGTGAATTGGCGCTTGACCCCTTTTGTCATTCTACCCTTCAGTTCATCTTATTAATTGTATATTTTTTTATTACTATATTTATATATTACAAATATTAAATTCATTGCATGTGTGTATTATTCGGGGAAAAAAATTTTGTTATTTATAAAAGAAAAATTTAATTTAATTTATATTTTTCTTCTCTTTAAAAAACGATGAGACGGTGGCAACCAACTCCAATCAACTTGGACTTGGACTTGGAGTTGCCAAACGGAGCTATTGTAGAAGCTCCTTTAAGGAGGTTCTACAATAGGTGCAAAAATGAAGTCCAACTCCAAGTCCAAGTTGCGTGCACTTGTATGCGCGCGCATCGCGTTGCCAACTATCGCGGAGAGCAAAATTGAAAACGCTTTGAAAAAGCTTGGAGATTCATTGAGTTGATAAGGTAGCCGGCCGATCAGTTCTTTGCGAGATTTGCGAGTCAACTTATTATTATTGAAAAAAATATTTAATCGTTTAAAAAGTTTTTATAAAAATTTAATTTCAACTTTACCTTCATTTTTAATTATCAGGTAAGTAATATCTTTAACTTTTGAGTCTCTTTTTTTTCTACATAACCTCTAAACATAAAATCAAAATTTTTTACTTTGCACATAGCCCTAAAATTTTAAATAAACACATTTTTTGTTATTTTTTTGAAGTTGGTGATGATTATTTATTAATATTATTATGTGAATTGTTCTTTTAGCAATTTTTTATTATGGAAGATCTGAATATTGTTTTGATCCGACTGGTGAAAGGCCATCCTGTAATTTTTGAGAAACAGTCCAGGACATTCAAAAATGCCACATTGAAAAAAAAATCATGGCTGAGTATTGTAGGGGACTTTTTTAAGAAAACTGGCATTGAAATCTCTGGTATGCAATAGAATTTTTATTATTTTTATATTAGTTTTATATTGACTTTTTTCCGAATTGTCGATTTGAATGCAGTGACACAAGCTAGCAATAGATGGGACTTATTGAAAGCAGGCTACACGGAGGTACGGAGAAACAACAAAACATATATCCCATCGGGATCCGCTGCCAGTGCGGACACTAACAAGAATTCCGATCACTGGATGTACTATTCGGAAATGAATTTTCTCAAAGAAAGCGTTGATCATGCAGAGTAAGTTAAAAAAAGTGTCTTAATTCCGTATAATGTCATACCCAAAACTAATTCGTTTATTGAAATTTATTATGTGTTTGAAATAATTCTTTCCATAAAGGAATATTTTAGTAATATAATTATTACTTTAAAGAAAAACCTTTAGAAAAAATGTTTGAAATCTGAGAATTTTAAAATAAAGTTCAATATTTGCTTGCAGTACAACTGAAACCTTTCAGAACACACGCTCCCACATTAATGAAGAAGAGAATCAGGAGGAATTCGAAGAATATGGATACCAAGATACAGAAGGACCTGTGGGAACAGGTAAATATACTAGTTACACATATTACAATTAACAATTAAATTGAAAAATAAATAATCCAAATTTGTCTTTTCAGGTGATATATTCCACTTCTTCCCAGTACCCTCAACATCTGCTGCAACAGCTGAGGAAAATGTTGATATTCGATCAAATAATATGTCAAAGCTAAAAAAGAATGATGTCAGAACAGAAAGACTTTTAGTAATAGACGATATGTGGAAGCGCATCTCCGAAAAAAATAGAGTACCATGTTACAGAGAGTTAAAAAAACTGATAACAAAAGACATATTGCTCATAAATTAAGCAAACAGATTATTTAAAGAAAGTTGGCCCAGAAAAAAAGTTTAATTAATTTAGTTAAACATATCTCAGTTAAAAATTTTGTGAAAAAATTCAATTTTTTATTAAATTGCAATTTAAATAGTTTAAAATTTTATAGACATTTCTTTAAATATAAATTATTAAAAAAATTTTAGTTAACTGTCTTTTGGAAGTTGAAATAATCACAAACTTTTAATTACAATACTTTCGAAATTATATAAATTATATAAAATATTTTCAAAAGCCTTACATTATTTGTTTTAAAAAAATAATAAACCATTTTGCAAAGTTTTGTTATTTCTAGAATTTTAAAAGAATTTTTCCGACAATTCAGTCATTTAAACAATTATCAATTTCAAAAATCGATAATTAAGATTGTCAAATTCATATTATTCGTTCAATTTATTAAACTGTCTTAAAAATAAGTATTATTTCTGGGCCAAATAGTTTTTATCCTAATCCACATTTTATTTCAATAGACACAAAAAAATTTGTCTTATAAGGAATGTAATAATTTAAAAATTTAATTTAAAATAAATGATATTTCAAGATTTTTATAAAAAAAATTAATGTAAAGAGAATTTATTGTTTTCAGGAAGTTTCTCAACTTTTCCCCTTTTGTAAGAAATTTTCTCCACTTTTCCCATTTTTCCAGGAAATGTATTTTTTTGTAAACGTAAAAATTATGATTTATTATTTTGATAAGTTTTTTTGTGCAAATTTCAATTATTTTCATAAGTAATAAATTTTTAAATGGGAATCCAATTATTTTTAAACATTTTAATAAAATTCATTTATTGCAAGATTTAAATTTTTAATAAATTCCTCAAAAAATGAAAAAAGAATAATTATTCTTAAAAATGTTATTAAAATTCTTTGAAAGAATTCAATTATTTTAGAAATGTTTTCATTTCATTTGGTGCAAACTGTAATAAAATATAAATTTTTATTTTTAAAAATTATTCATTTATCATTTTTCTAAACAACGGATTATGTTTTAAATAATTTTATTTAAAAATTTCAACAAAGAAATGATTGAATTTTGGAAGAATTTCAGTTATAATTTTTAGAAATAATTAAATTTCAAAAATGTTTTATATTGAAATCATTTAAAATATTTTAATTCCTGTGAAAAAATTAAAATTAAAATATTTGCTTAACGAGAATTATTTAAATATATTAGAAAAATTGATAAATTCTTCTAATATATTGTTATGTCATATTTTAAATAATTTTTAATTTTACCTAAGCTGAACTTATAATTGTACCCTGTTCTAACTCCTTAATTTAACTTAGTTAAATTAACTAAGTTGGGGAAAGGATTATTAAATGAATGTTTAAATATAAAAATTATTTATTTTAAAAAATGCAAATGTTCTTAATTATTAACTTTGACAATCAAATATTTAGAAAATCTATTTAATTTGATTTGGTAAAACTACCTTTTTTATTGTGGTGGCGGAGTTTCCCAATCTTCGTTTCTTGGCACCTGACTTTGATCTTCTATTGAGGTAATTAAGATTTTATTACTGGAAACCTTTTAACTGATGACAACACTTTAAAACTGTATTTTACACTTCCCTGGCGGATTCGATTTGCGTAATGTCTACTTAACTAAGCGGACTTTAGGTAGACATTAGGTAGACATGTAAAAAAACGTATAAAAAAGCTATTAATCGACTTATTATGATAAAAAAAAGTTGATAAAAGGGTAAATGAATGTTTATAGAGTAAATTCGTACAAAATTTGTAATTAATAAAGCAATAAATAATTAATAATGAATGGAAATGTGCGCGAGGTACCTGATCAGTTCAGCTGTACAATTATTTTCGTGCTATTTTCATGAAAAGAATATAAATTAACTGCAAAAACAATTGATATTTATAAAAAAGTGTAAAATTGATTTAATTTTATTGTTTGCAATACGAATTATTAAATAATAATTAAGTTTTTATCAAATGTGAATAGTGTTGTGAAAACCTGTGAAAACTAATGAGTTACTACATTACCGATCGCATATGAGAGATGGCGCCACCAGTTTTTACAATACAGTGCGAGCATGTTTTCTTCCAAGCTTTTGCTTTGAAAGAAAATAAAAAGTGAATTTTAAAATGCAGAATAAAGTTATACAAATAATTATTGATTTCATAATTGTTTCTCGTCCAAAATTACGGACATGATTGCAGCTTTTTTGTTACACTCATCGAGAACTTTTTATTATCATATGCGATCGGTAATGTAGTAACTCATTAGTTTTCACAGGTTTTCACAACACTATTCACATTTGATAAAAACTTAATTATTATTTAATAATTCGTATTGCAAACAATAAAATTAAATCAATTTTACACTTTTTTATAAATATCAATTGTTTTTGCAGTTAATTTATATTCTTTTCATGAAAATAGCACGAAAATAATTGTACAGCTGAACTGATCAGGTACCTCGCGCACATTTCCATTCATTATTAATTATTTATTGCTTTATTAATTACAAATTTTGTACGAATTTACTCTATAAACATTTATTTACCCTTTTATCAACTTTTTTTTATCATAATAAGTCGATTAATAGCTTTTTTATACGTTTTTTTACATGTCTACCTAATGTCTACCTAAAGTCCGCTTAGTTAAGTAGACATTACGCAAATCGAATCCGCCAGGGTTGTTATGAAGAACTTCTTGTATATATTTTGGGACTCGATACGATGAACTTTTTACGTATATTTTGGGACTGCCTTGTTAGTGAAAGGTCTCCCATTATATAGTAATATTTTCCAATGTATTTCTCGCAGCGGGACCAGTTCGCCTCTATAGGTAGATTCAATGTCGGGACCTCACAGACACGAAAAATCTTTATTGCTTTTTCTTTTAGTAGTGGTGACTCCATAATAGATTTCCTGCTTTTTTAGATCGTCTTTTCTAATTTTAAATATTAAGAACATCACACCTTTATGAAATATAATAATTTTACATATTGATTAATTACATTGATTATTTCTGTCTATACATTTAGGTTTGATAACAATTATTTTTGTTTATAAATACATTTGTTATTTGCAAATATTTGTTTATTTATAAACGTTCATTTATAATTTAATATTACAAGAATATTTATTTTATTAAAATTAATTATTAACAACAATTATTATTTATTATAAAAAAATGTGACGGTGACATGATTATATATCTGTTTATTTATTAATATATTTGTTTATTTATAAACAATTGTTTATCCACAAATATTTGTTTACAAATATTTGTTTATTAAAGAACAATTATTAATTTACAAATATATTTATTTATAAAAGAATTTATTTTATATAAATATTTATTTATTAATTATTATTAATTATTATTATTTTTATAAAAAATGTTACGGTGACGTGACAATATATAACACCGAATGATAAATTCATCTTTACTTAAGAGAATTATTTAAGTTTTTAATGTAATTTTATTTTAGTCAAATAATTAGATTTTTCATGAATTTTAATTACAATTTTTTTCCAGTGAAAGTATATAAACAAATTAAATGTTACATAAGAATAATATTTTTTGGTGCATTCAATTGACTTTTCAACACGAAATAAATTTTTATTTTTTTGATTTTTAGAAAAGGTATTTAAAACAAAGAGAGAACTTCCACTTCTTATAATTTTTATTAAAAAAATATATAAATAACAAATTAGTTTAATATTTTTGCTTTATATCACAACGAGCACCTTCTGTTATTTGTATATTTAATCCGATAGATTGCACATTATATGAACTCTGAACTTATCGGATATTAACTAAACATAAATTCTTTTAATTTGCGATAGAAGTTAAAAATTTTAAAAAGGGAATAATGGTTTTTCAATGAGAAATAAGACTACGAAAAAGGTTAAAAATTCAAAAAATTGTTTCATGTTACGTTTTGGTTTTAAGAAATTTCGTGAACATGAATAATTTGTATCAATTGAATTTAAATGAACAGTAAAATTGAACCTTCTAATGATATAAAAACATAATTGTAAGATAAATAAAGGGAAAGCAAAACAAAAGAGAGCAGAAAGAGATGATACATCTAGTCGGTTTGATACTTTTGCAAAATATCTAATACGTCATGCATAAAAGTTGCTTGTTCGTCGTCGCTTAACAAATTCCACTCACGAGCAAATAAATTGAATAGAGCATCTCCACGAATTTCAGTAGTCGGTGTTTTATTTTCTTCATCTTTTTCTAATTGCTTTTCTAAAACTCGTTGTTGTATTGTCATACAATTTGTAAAAACTGTGGTCATATTATGCAAATCATTAGTCGATCGTTCTACTGCTTCCTTGATTGCAGACGTGTTATCGTTAATTTTTTGGGATTTTTGTCTACAAAAACGATCGACCGGCGGTGTTATTTTACCTTTTGCAGCTAAATGATTTTTTGGAATATCCTGGACTCTACAATGATGCCCTAATGTGGGAGCATCATTAAGTTCACTCGAATTCTCATTTTTTTTTTAGTTCCATATGAAAATTGTGATGTCAAAGAACGTTTTTTGGGGGTTGGAAACGCTGATAGTTGTCCCAATGTCTCAAATTGTGATTTGTACGAATGTTCAGCAGACTGTGCTTTTGAATTGACTGGTGTAAATTGATGTTTTAAATTTAAAAAAGTATTATCTCTACTTCTATTGATTGAATTTGAAGATGGTCGTTGGTATGTAGGAAACGTCCAATTTCTTACTTGAAATGAAGATTTCTTGACAGATGTTCCACATACTGTCTGTGATTCATCTGTTGTAGATATTAACTCTGTATTATCTTCTTCATGAGAATTGCCTGAAACGTAAGATGATGTATATATTGGTGATGGACGTGATTTTGGTGGAAATTCATGGAGTGCTGCATTAAGTGTTGGTGATACAGAAGCAGTTGATAAATTTGATTGTGAATTACTTTCATCATAGGTATCATCTGATACATGGGACGATGTAGATGTTGGTGACGCTCTTGATTTTGTTTGACATTCATGGAGTGTTCTATTGAATGTTGTCGATACAAGATTAGTTGAAGAATATTGCGCACTTGGAGAATACAATGAGAGGTTCGATAAATTTGAATCTGAATTATTTCCATCCATAATACGTGAATCATATGACGAAGTTGATGTCGGTAATGTTTGTGTTTTTTCTTGAAATGCGTGGAGTGTTGTACTAATTGGAGGAGACATAACGGCAGTCGAAGAGTGCAAAAAACTTGGAGGTGAAGCTATTGAGTGTAGCTGAGAGAAATCTTTATTAGTCGAATTTGGAACAGAATCATCGATAGTGATTATTTCATCCTCGTAAGATAACATTTCATAGTCTGTGAATTCTTCTATTTTTACTCCCTGAGCTTCAGAATTTCCCATTGAATTTTCTCCACCAGTCTCTTCGTGTAAATGAGGAGAAGAAGTAGATGGAGCAATATCTGTAGAAAATATATGTTTCATGTTAAAAACTTTGTTATTTTTTAAATAATTAATTTTGAACTTTACATTGATTATTAAAGGCTTCGAAGCGTAGTAAGAGACTAAGAAAAATATGAAAAAGTATCATTTTTAAAAAAAAAAGTATCCCCAAAATTGAAAAAAGTATAAAAAAAGTTAAAAAGTGTGTTACATCAAAGCCTGTATTATTATATTATTTGTATTTTTATTCATATTATAAAATGTTATCGTGTTTTGAAAATAAAATTTTTTGCCATTAACCTGAAAAAGTTACTTCTTATAATCTGTTTAGCGTTTAAAAAGTATGATTTTTTTAAAAAATTTTTTACAACTTCCAAAAAAAGACTTTTCATGGTAGTGTATATGAACTACCATGTTCATATATAATATATAATAATTGTTCAAATGTTTCATTTTTTTATGTCAGTGGCGAAAAAAGCTTACTATCGTCTCACTCTCGTCGCACTGATAAAAAAATCATGGCTAATTTCCTACTTCTTTTCTGTTCATTAAATTACAAAATAACTGAAATGTTTTTCTTGATAGTGAACACAACCTTAATTTAAAAAAAATTACATTACATACCGGATTTTGGAACATGAAAATTGTTTGCCATAGGAGAATTTTGAACTCCAATTTGAACAAGATTTGGAAATTGAGCCTTGGTGTGTTCAATTAAGAATAAGAAGTCATTGTATAAGTGCCAATTCACATTTGACTTCTTGTAATGTCCGTTGAAAGATTTCCTTAATTGATTCCAACGTTTTTGTGGATCTGAGAATTAAAAAAGCATGTATTACGAAACAATTGAACGTTAATAATATGATTGTTGAACACAAGGAAAATGCACATGAGATTGTGTCCTAAGTTCTTCATAAATATCCCTTTTGATTAAGAAAAATGAAGAGTGGGTGACATTACAAAGCAACCTTATATAATAATAATAATAATAATAATAAATTTTCTTTGTAAGAAACATTTTCCTATTTCAAAAATATTTCAAGAACTTTGCATTGAAATATTTCAAAAATATTATCGAAATATTATGAGCTGTGGGGGTTCAAAATTCACTCATTTGTTTTGAATTTTTAAATAAAATTATGCAAAACTAGAAATTTTTTTGGAAAATAATTCTTATAAAGTATTTTATCAAAATTTTTATAAATAGTTTAATCCTTTTAAAAAACTTTGATACAAGTTTTAAGAATAATTACATTTTTCGAGGAGTTCATTAGAAATTGTATTAAAAATAATTGAAATCCATCGAAGAATTTTATAATTTATTAATATAACTGAATTCTTGCGAACAAACTTTATTAATATTTCAAAAAATGATTTAATTGTTGTAACGAATTTTAATAAAAATTCTTTTGAACTATTACAATTTTCAAAGACGAACAATTTAAAATCTTTTGGAATTTAATTATTTTATTAATCGAAGAATTTTATTATTCATGAAAATATAATATTTTTGAAAATAACAGAAATCCAGGGAAGAATTTTATTAGTTATAAAATTAATTAATTTTCTTGGGAAATAATTTATTATATATTAAAATAATTGAATTTTTGCGAAAACGTTTCTTCAAATATTGGAAAGTATTTGAAGCGTTTTAAAGAATTTTATTAAAATTTTTGGGAATAATTTTCTTATTTCAATTATTAACGAATTTAAAGTAGTGTAATTTTTAAAAGAATAGAAAAAAGTAGCTTTTAGAATTCAAATAAATAAAAATTTACCTGCATTTAAAGTGGGGCCATGATTAACCAAATATTCTTGTATTTGGGCCCACGTGGCTTCAACCAAACCTGGATGTGAAGTTTGTCTCATGTAAGTATTATATAAAACGGGATTTAATCGTACAAGATTTACTAATGTTTTGTCGTACGACTGTTGTGCCCATTTTTGCCCGTAGGGAAACATAATTTAAAAATTTTATATAAAAAAAAGAAAAATGACCGGCTTCAGTTTTAACACGTTTCAGATTGACTAACTGAACAGACGAATGAAAGTGGCTATGAATGCCGGGTTCAGTGCCGGCTTTAGATAGGGCGAACGTGGCAACTGTATCGAGCGCCCAATTTTAAAGGAAATGCTTAAATTTTTATTGAGTTTAAAGTTTTAAGCTGTTTTTCACGAAAGATGAAATTTAACTATTTCAACAAAAAATATAAAAAATTTTTATATAATTTCATATGATCAACATTTCTGAAAAAGGGTAACTTCTTATTTAAAGTCGACCCTGCATTGTAAGTTAGTTTGAATGAGGCGCGAAAACTTGAATAGAGCAAAAAACGAGACGCCTGTTTTTCCCGCCTTTCGACAAGTGCTAATTGTAATTCTATCAAATTTAAAAATTTCAAATGTTAAAATAATCTAAATGCATTGGATTTAATGTGATTTTATACAAACATCTATTTCATATAAGGAGTTTATTGTCAAATTTATTTTCAACAAAAAGCAAATTGTCTAAAACGCATTTACTAGAATGATAAAAAATTCTAAATTTTTTTATTCAAACTTTCAAATAATAAAATAATTGTTCAACCCAATGTATATTATTAATAATTTTATGATAACCTAATTTTAAAGGGTTCTAATTTTTAATTGCATAAATTGTAATTAATAAAATATTTATGTTATAAAAACTTTACTTTCTCAAAACTCTATTTAGTCAAAGTATCAAAAAACCTAATTTTTAATGTTTATAAATGTCATGTGTTATAATGTTTAAAAAGAAAAATATTAATTCCATACAATTTTGATATACTAGAATGACCAATTTCTACAAATTTAAAAAAGTCTAAAGTGATTTTGATCTAAAAAAATTGACTGGCGTTTATTGTATATCAAAATTGTATGGAATTAATATTTTTGTTTTTAAACATTATATCACATGACATTTATAAACATTAAAAATTAGGTTTTTTGATACTTTGACAAAATAGAGTTTTGAGACAGTAAAGTTTTTATAACATAAATATTTTATTAATTACAATTTATACAATTAAAAATTAGAACCTTTTAAAATTAGGTTATAATAAAATTATAAATAACATACATTGGGTTGAACAATTATTTTATCATTTGAAAGTTTGAATAAAAAAATTTAGACTTTTTTATCATTCTAGTAAATGCGTTTTGGACAATTTGCTTTTTTGTTGAAAATAAATTTGACAATAAACTCCTTTTATTAAATAGATGTTTGTATAAAATCACATTATATCCAATACATTTAGATTGTTTTAACATTTGAAATTTTTAAATTTGACACAATTACAATTTGAACTTTTTGAATGGCGGACATAAACAGGCGTCTCAACTTGTCAAACTTAATGCCAGTTAATGAAGTAGGATTTACAGGAAAATATTGTTTACATTACTATTGTATTGTTATCATTCAGTATTCATGTCATTATATTATTATTATTGTTCAATGTTTATTGAAAGAAAATGTATAAAAAATTGAACTGATATGGGGACGTCCATAAATTACGTGTGACATTTTTCTGATAATTTAGACCCCCCTTCAGGTGAGATTTTTTACATGTATTAGCGCAATTTTTTCTATTGAACGTGAGAAGTGACTGGACCCCCCACTCCCCTAAACGCCTCACGTTATTTATGGACGATCCCTATATCCATAAATTTTTGGAGGAAGGTGAAAAAACAATTAAAAATACCTTAAAGATAAAGAAGCGCTCCTGCAGGGGAAGAAAAATATCCAGCTAAAGCATTTCGCTGCTCATGTACGTCGTGAGGAACATCTGCGAATACCTCTTCGTGTCTAGGAACTCCTTGTACATTTTCAGCAACCTGCCTAGGAACATGTTGGCGTCTTCTCTCAGAAGGATCAAGCATTTCTTCATTAATAATGAAGTTGTGCAAACATACACACGCTTGAATAATATTTTTTGAATTTGCAACTGAGAAGTTTAGACGAGTGTTCAAAATTTGGAATTTGCTTGTCCACACCCCATAGGTGTCCTCAATTGTATTCCTTCCCCTAGATAATCTGCAACAAGAAAAATTATTAGTTGGAAAAATTACAAAAAATGTTCAAAACTTCTTACTGAAAAGTGTAATACTTCATTTTTCTAACTTTGTAATACAGGAACAGAGCTAAGGTGATTTTATACAGAAAAAAGCAATTGTACAAGACAATTTTTTTTATCATCAAAAAATGTACGCAAAGATGAATCGAAAATTCAAATTTTTGAAATTTTTTTGAAAATTATAAGCATACCTTTCATTGAAAATTCTTTGCTCCTCAGAAACAAGATTATTTCTATTGTAGGGAGTCATCAAATATTTTTTTAATTCAAATATTGCATCCCCGATAAAAAAATATGGCATCCGAATATTGCTGCGTGGAAGAAAATTGTCTCGAGGAAGGTCAATTTCGCCTTGTTCAAGTGCTTTATATAATTCCGTGTTACGAAACGCTGATAAATCGCTGATAGAACCTGTAGAATTTAAAGACCAAAAATTATTTATATACTAGTGGAAATTAGTAATTATTTTCAATTTATTTTGGAAAACACTTTACCATAGTCCCCTACACTGATCCACGTGAAACGATAAAACGCATCGCAAATAGACAGTACTTTAAAACTGAAGAACTTTTTGTAACAGTAGAACATGCTTCCTGAGTGCGGAGGAGCTCTTATCCTGATTTCCTTTCCGTCCAATGCACCCAGACAGTTGGGAAGATTCCACCTGGCCCGGTAGCCATGAGCAACAACCTCCAGCTCTGCAGCAGACTTCCAAGATAAATAAATGGGTGACAGCAATTCCCAAATCAAGGGACAAACTTCGACCACAATTTTATATGTTGTACTGACACCAACCCGAAATAAGTTTGCTGAGGAAAACAAACTGTCTCCGTGAGCTAGGTAACTGTAAATAAAACAACTAAATATTAAAATTTATTGTGTGACATACATATCAATTTTCAAAAACTTCTTAACATACGTTAGTGTGAGTGCAAGCCGAAGTTCTCCACTCAGAGGCCGCCTTAAACTAGTTTTAAGTAACCTGTCGTGGAGCGCGCTATATAATTTACGGAAAGATTTCACGTTCATTCTAACCATATCATAGAATGCTTCAGAGTCATTGTTTGCATAATACAAAAATAACATTTCGTATGCTCCAAAATTATCTCGCATGAAGTTGCTTATATGAGGCTTTACATGCCATCGTCGAACAGACATTGGTTGTATTTGCAAATATAGCTGAAGTAAGTGGAGCAGGTTCAACCATTGGTGTGCGATCACGACAATAAAAAAATAGTTCAACATTCTTGCTGTAACCAAATTTTTCGAAATGAGATAAATAAAATTTTACTTTTTCAGGAAACTAAAAACTTTTCCAAGTTGAAAAAATCTCATATTAGAAAAAAATCACATTTTTCTTATACGAAAAAAAAATTTTTGTAAAAAAAATTCAAATACGAAAAATTTATTTCTTCGAAACGGACAAATTTATAGATTCTTAAAATACAAAAATTCTTATTTTCGTTTGTTGAATATGAAAAAATTATGTCTTTCATTACCTAAATACTTTTTTTTAAAAAAAGACAATTTTTTAGTTATTAATATTGGAAAAATTTATGTTTTTTGAAATATGAATTTCTCTTGGATTTTTAAACATTTTTAGTTTAAAAAACCATAAAATTAGTATACTTTTATTTTATGATTTTTTTAAATTAAACATGTTTCTAAGATAAAAAATTCATATTTTTGAAAGGTTAAAACTTATTAAAATAAAAAGAGTTAAAATTTTTATATTAAGAAAGATTAATATTTTTATACTTTTAAAAAGGTATCAATTTTTCAGAAAGTAACAAACATTAAATTTAAAAAAAAATAAGAATTTTACATTTTATGAAACTGGAAATTTTTCCATGTATAAAAAAAATAAAAATTTTCACATTAAAAAAACTTAACTTCGACTATTGCTACAGAAAAATTAATATTTTTTATTGAGATTCAAATTTCAAAAAAAGTAACAAAAAAATGTTTTATTTAAACATTTAAAAATTTAGGGCAATGCGAAAAGTAAAAAAATTTTGTTTTAATATTTAGAGGTTATGTAGAAAAAAGAGACTCAAAAGTAAAAAATATTACTCACCTGATAATTAAAAATACTTCACATTAAAAATGAAGGTAAAGTTGAAATTAAATTTTTATAAAAACTTTTTAAACAATTAAATATTTTTTTCAATAATAATAAGTTGACTCGCAAATCTCGCAAAGAACTGATCGGCCGGCTACCTTATCAACTCAATGAATCTCCAAGCTTTTTCAAAGCGTTTTCAATTTTGCTCTCCGCGATAGTTGGCAACGCGATGCGCGCGCATACAAGTGCAAGCAACTTGGACTTGGAGTTGGACTTCATTTTTGCACCTATTGTAGAACCTCCTTTACGCTGTCGAATGCATAGTGGATGCTTGCTCTCTCGCACTCGTTAGGTATTACGACCATAATACACATTAGTATGGCTGGAGACGTCTATGCTGTACGCTATGGCACCAATACACCTATGTTTCCTTGCTCACAGCCTATCTTACCTTGCCCCTCTGTATCTTTCAAGCCTACAAGCTATGCCTGCCATTGCTTTACTATAATGTGCTTTTAGATCTATATGCAACTGATCAATTCCAGATCAATATTGAGACAATTGATCTCAAAACTGGAATTGCAACAACATTCAAAATACTACAAAATAGAATGGAATTTCTTTCTGCTTGGAAATGTCCATTATCTTAAAGTATATTAACCTTTTATATGAGAGGGTTAATTCTAAAATTTCAAAGATTAAATAAAATGTAAAATTATTCAAAAGAATAATTGAAAATAATTTTGTTTCGAAATAACTTTATTATTTCAACACTATTTCACTAAACCGATTTTATTGCAAATTCAGCAAAACTGGCATGGCAACAGGCCCCACCTTCCCTTTCCACCTACAATTGCGAAATTCAAAATCAGCAAAATTTCCCACCAGGTGCCCTAAGCCGACCTGTAGAGGCATCTCCAGCCCCTAAATTTTTGTTCAGTACGGTTTGCGCGAGCATCGAAGTTCCAACTCTGTTTGGAACTGCCCGGATTAAAAAGCCTAAGCGCTCCCGTCCGGTACCAAGGATCCGCTGTGATTCGTGTGCTTACACGAATAATTTCGGTCGGACGTAAAGTAAAACGCTAACTTACTCCGAAGTCCACGGAGGCCGGTTAAGAGTCGATTCAAGTGAAGAGTTTTTAAATCTAATTAATTTTCTTTTTCTAAATTTTTGTCGAAAGACCAGCCGGGTGCGGAGTGCCCGCGTCTGCTGTTGCAGTTGACGGCTTAACGAATTAGAGTAAGAGAGTGGATTTGTCTGTCCCTGTTTAAAAATTGTTCGCGCAATAAGAGAACATACGGCAAACCGCGAATGCGCCACTCGAGTGATTGTGTAAGGACGATTTTTCAAAATTTATGTTTTTTTTGCCCGTCGAGAAGAAATTGTCGACGGTAGAATAAGGAAGCGGAACGGAAAGTACTCAGTATCGTTCCGGGGTAATTTTGTAATTACATCCTTCTTCCCTCCCTCCTTTCTTGTAAGAGAGAGTGGAATATATTTGTCAGCATTATTTTTGAATGATAAAATAAAATTAATATTTCTTTTAACTCTTTCTTCTCTTTATTTTCTGTTTCCTGTATTCTAATAGTAACAAGTTATAAAAGGAAGTCGTGGTATATTTTCCTATCTTATCCTAGAAAATATCAGCAATTAGAACGAAACGAACCCACAAATAAAAACAAGGCCCTTCAGGCTTTGGCATTTTGGACCTCCGAGAACCTCTGAAATTTGGGCCATCTCAAAAGCCCGATGTATTGTTCTAATTATTTTTAATAATAATTATTTCAAAACAAATAATTTCTTCGGTTCGTAACACTCATGTTTTTCTTTTATTTTAAATTTTATTTATAAAATTAATAATTTTAAGTTAAAAATTTATGTTTCTTTAAATATACTCTCTTCTATTTTTTAATATATATATATATATATATGTTAGGCTCAAAAGCCGAAAACGGCCAATGGCCGAAAAAAACAGCCGAACCTAGTTCTGGCAAACGCATTTTTGCCAATACTAGTTGTGGACGTTTCACAACGGCCATTGGGCGTTTTAAATTGACAAAACCAGTTTTGGCAAACAGAAATTTGCCAAAACTAGTTTTGGCAAACGCATTTTTGCCAAAACTGGGTGAGGCATTTTTAATTATGACAAAAATTTAAACAATAAATTTTCCACACAAATTTTTCTCTTTTAGCAATGTATTTTTACACAAAAATCAATTTCTGTACAAAAAATAAGAACCTAAATTGTGAATTCGAAATTTAAGAACAATTTTCTCTCTGTATTGATGTCTTTGTGTATGAAATCAGAAATTGTCAACAAGGTAAATTAGTATTCGCTGAAACGTTATAGCCTCTGTATCTGTCAATTAATTAAAATGGAAAAAGTTTGTAAATTCGACGAAAAAGTGCAACAGCATTTAAAAAATTTAAATCCTGACAAAGTGTTCACCACTGAAAAGTATAACTCCATTTTATCTGAAGTGATAGAAGCGAAAGATTTACATATGAATAAAAAACCCATGACGACCAAGCATTATCGTCGATTAAAGCGCTTTGACATAATTAATATTGGTGCTACAGAGAAATTGATTGAAAATACGAAACTGCAGGAAGACGGAAATCGCGAAATACGTTATTTTTGCAAAGTCGAGGAATATTTTCACGTTTTGGACAAGGCTCATGCAGATACAGTTTCTTTCTTATCTTTTCAATGGAGAAAATTGTTCTTAAAATTCAAATTCACAATTTAGGTTCTTATTTTTTGTACAGAAATTGATTTTTGTGTAAAAATACATTGCTAAAAGAGAAAAATTTGTGTGGAAAATTTATTGTTTAAATTTTTGTCATAATTAAAAATGCCTCACCCAGTTTTGGCAAAAATGCGTTTGCCAAAACTAGTTTTGGCAAATTTCTGTTTGCCAAAACTGGTTTTGTCAATTTAAAACGCCCAATGGCCGTTGGGAAACGTCCACAACTAGTATTGGCAAAAATGCGTTTGCCAAAACTAGGTTTGGCTGTTTTTTTCGGCCATTGGCCGTTTTCGGCTTTTGAGCCTAACATATATATATATATGTATAATCTGAAAAAGTATTTCTATAATAAAAAAAACTACAATTAAGCTTTATTTATTGGAACATTGTGAATATTTTATTTGATTCAAATCATTGATTATTTGATAATTATCTTATAAACATTTACTGGAACTTAGTATACAAAATATTTTTTAGTTGAATTCTATAATTAAATGGAAACAAATAATTTTGTATATGTAACAAATAACTTTCAAGTTGATTTGAATAATATTTGTTCGATAATTTTATGTTTTAGTAATATATACAAAAACTGTAATTAATTCATTTAAATAAGTAGTAAAAATTTTAACTAAAAATTGATTTGGTAAATTCTTGATTCTTAATTATTATAAAAGAAAATTAACATATATATGGGACGTTTCATGTCAACCGGCCCAGAGCTCTATCCAAAATTTTAATCAACGAAAATCAACTTATTACGGCTCAAAATAATCGTCAGCTCATACTGCTTCGAATAAAAAGTGGCGAATTAAAAAATTCAAAATGTCGTCCTTACTGTACCATGTTTTGCAAATTTTTTTAATAACTCAGCAAACAAATGTATTAATTACCTTGAGAAAATAATTGCAACTTGTTGGATAATGGGTCACTCTTATGTTTTTTGGGTCACTGATTACGAATATAACGTCAGATTTTAAAAATTCAAAATGGTGGATCCAATATGGCGAACAAAAATTTTTTAAAAATTATCAGATTTGCTTGAAACTTGTTACTCGGGGATTTTTGTGGTCGGTGATTACGAATTTGAATCTGGATTTTATAAAATAAGATTGGTGGTTCCAAAATGGCTAATAAAGTATTTAAAAATTGGATGGATTCGCCACCCTTAACTCCATAAACCACCCTTTCACATTATTCAATTAGTTGTTTTAAATTTTTCTTCCATACAAATTTAGGCTTCATTTAAAAGATCTTAAATATCATAAAAGTAATTTTTCAAAATACTACTCTTAATCCCCAAAACTACCCCTTAATATAGAAATTTAAGATTTTTTAAAATTTACTCTACATAAATCTTTTATAATTTTAGCTAATTTGAGGCTTTTAAATAGCCTTAAATTAAATTTTGAAAAATCTACCCTTAAATTACTTTTTTAAAATTTTTCCTTTCCTTTATAAAAATTTCCTCTATATCATTTTTTTACAATTTAAGCACAACTGAAACTTTCAAATATTCTCAAACTGAATTTCAAAAACTGTCCTAACTCTAAAAACCTTAACCTCAAAAATCAGCCTCATTACATTTCAGTTTATAAATGCAAACCAATTTTACAATTTCATCCCCCATATTGGCTCCACCATTTTGAATTTTTAACAACTTTTACATCAGAATCGTGATCTGTGATCTGATTTTTAAAAGTTGACGTAAGATTCGTGATCATCGACCCCAAAAATCTCCGAGTAACAAGTTTCAAGCAAATCTGATAATTAAAAAAAAAAATTTATTCGCCATATTGGATCCACCATTTTAAATTTTAAACATTTTTAAAATCTGACTTTAGATTCGTAATGAGCGACTCCAAAAACCCCCGAGAAACAAGTTTCAAGCAAATCTGATTATTTTTAAAAAAAGTTAGGTCGACATATTGGATCCGCCATTATGAATTTAGAAAATTTTTTAAAATATGACTTTAGATTCGTAATCAGCGACCCCAAAAACCCCCGAGTAACAAGTTTCAAGCAAATCTAATAATTTAAAAAAATTTTTGGTCGCCATATTGGATCCGCCATCTTGTATTTTGAAAATTTTTAAAATCTGACTTCAAATTCGTAATCAGCGACCCCAAAAACATAAGAGTGACCCATTATCCAATAAAATACCTTTTAACATTAACTTAAATATTGATAAATAAAATAATAAAAATTATTTTATTTTGTAAAATTATTATAAAAATAATTAATTATTTAAAGAAAAGTTATAAATTATTTATAAAAACAAAAGAAAAGAAATATTAAGAAATAAATTTAAATCTGGAGAAATAGTATTTCAGAAATAGTAAAAAGAGATAGAAGACATTCATAGATATCACTATAGAGAAATATACATTAGAAAAATGATAGTAAGAGAGGAAAGATACAATTTCGGATATAAAGCAATTACCCAAGAAGCACGTAATATAACCTCAATATCAAGGTAATATTACATGTAAGAAGAACGTTAAATATAACGTTGTAATATTACAGTAATCTTACAGTGATCTTAAAATGTCCGCCTCAAGGTAAGATTACCGGAAATGTTACTGTAATATTACGCGCTAATATTAAGGTAATATTACAGTAATATTGCAGTAATATTATACCTTAAGGGTGCTGAACGGAGAAACTGTCAGAGGTTCTCAAACACTTTCCCCTCTTTTTTTAAAAATTTTAATTTTATCATTTTTTAAAAAAAAAACCAAACA